ATATATATATACTGAGTCAGATTGTAGAGAGATATATACTTAGATATTTACAAAAAACCTCTAAGTTTATTTGGACTAAGAAAAATGATTTTAGATTAGAACTCCTCTTTTCCTCTCTGTGAAATTACAGAACAGTATTACTGTTGTAGTTTTAATGAAAATTATTTGTCTAGATTTTTTGATGAGTTATATTTTCAGATTGATTTAGCAAATCTACAGTGCATCTACAAATGGAATACAAAAGCTTCTTCAGTATTAATGGTTTTACATCTTTATTGATCAAAAAGACATTTCAGATGTATGAATCATTGTTTGCCATTTACAAAACACATCCATTGAGCTTGATTTGTTTTTCCTGATTAATGCTGAGATCTGGCTGTTTTCTGTTCTAGGTTGTGGAGACCAATTTGGTTGCTTTTGATTGTCACTGGATCATTATAAATGAGGTAAAGCTGCTGGCCCCTTATGGTCCCCTCTGTATGCTGTGTTCATATACACAATTGCAGTGTTTCCTATGGCCTTGGATTTTTAAGAGGGAACAGAACACGAAGTAAACTTTCAGCTTATTGAATACTATTAAGTAAAAATAGAATGAAGAGTTTTTAAAGATGATAAAGGGCTTTGTATGAATAAAGTAAATGGAGAAAGTCTACCCTGCTGAGCTGAGTATCTTGCAGCTTTTCCTGTTGGCACACTCTGTCTGCTGAGAGAGATCATCTTTATGAAATGTAGAGCTCTTCTTTGTAAGCAAAGTGAATTCCACCCAGCGGAGTGCTTATGTTCCATTTATATTTTAATGTTGTTTCTAGAACTTTCGCATCTACCGCCTTTGCATGAGGATTAAATAGTATAGCATATGAATTTGAATCAATAAAAAACAGATTTTTTTTTGCCTTTTCATAAATAAGTTTAACTGTTTCAAAATCCAGGAAAATTCATTGTGGATTTTTCATTTTTGAAGACAGTACATAAGATGAAAAATACATTACTGCCTGAGATGCTGTGAAAAAAGTTGTCCCATTAGCATTTACCAATCACAATCAGAAAGAACAGTGAACAGATCAGTTTGGGACAAATATGTGATCACATAAACTGATCTTCAATAAAACATGGTGTTCATCAGAGCTATTATTTATGAGTAAAGATTATATAGTGTTTATCTTTGGATAAGAATTATAAAATGATGAGACTTATTTTGGGGACAAAATAGTATTTGGGGTAAGAACTTTGATTTTGTAAACAGCAAAATGCAACCAATGCTGGCTATAAAACTTACTACTACTATGGACATATAATTATTCTATGCCTCAGTTTATCTATTTATATGATACTGTAATAATATTTACAGTTTCTTAATAAAAATAAATGAAATGTTCTAATCTATTAGCACAGCCTCTTACAAATGACACTTGATAAATGACGCTGCAATAAGGATACTTTTCTGTGAACGTGCACAGATAGCTGTCTCTCACGATTTTGTGGAATATTAAACACTATTCTGTGAAGTAGTGGGGGGTGGGGGTCCACAGAGGAGAAGAGATTTGTTTCTCTTAGGCAGATAATAAAAATAATTCCTAGTTTCAAGTTGTCTCTCCTAAACAACTCCTTGGAGATGGAATGTGGAATGGTTCTCTTTAGCCCTGGATCCTGGAAAAGCCACACAAATCTGCTTTTGGTCTCCCAAACTGCAGGTCCGTGTGATCTCTCTCCACATCTCTCCTGGCACAGGCATTCCTCAGAGTCACACATGCAATACATGTACATGCAATATTTTTTTTTCAGTGAGACTCTGATATCTTCTAATTTTCTCATACCTCTGAATTTTCCATCCTAGGATCCCAGCCAGGGCACAAGTGCCCTGCTGAATTAGGAAAATTCACAATAATTAAGATCAGGATAGTGGGAGGACCGTAAGGCAAGAGGATTCATTTTTTTTTCCTTTTTTTTTTTTTGCAAGGAAAAGAAGTTTCAATGAAATTAAACAATTCAATATTGTACAATTTTTAGAGGGGATAATGGGATTTATTTTGATAATAGAATTTTTATAACAGCTTTTTCTGATATAATGATTCAATTGTTTTTGTTCCTTGTTTTGTTTTTTGGTAATTCTCTTTATAGATTATATTTTTGAAATTTCCACTACCTCAGTTGGAATCTTATGGGAGGTATTTTATCCCAATAGCCATTGTCTTTAGTTTAATTATTTCCTAGATTACTTTTTTTAAAAATAAATAATCATCCTAATCCCTATTTTTATCTTGTGCCTGACTTCTGATGAGGAGTAGACTACACAGATTTCTTGATACTAAGTAAGCTGGAATAATTTTACTCATTTAAGTTAACAGAGTTGATTATAAAAGAAACATGATTTGTTCTTAATTAAAACAAATCAACATTTAAAATAATTGCTTGGTATGGTGGGCACTCCTGTAATCCCAGCACTCAGGAGGCTGAGGCAGGAGGTTTGCCCAGAGTTTGAGGCCGGCCTGACCTACATACTAAGTTCAAGGCCTGCCTAAATTACAAAGTGAGATCCTATCTCAACAAAACAAAACAAAATAAAACAAATCTTTAAACGGAAAGGGTCATTCCCTTCTATTCTGTGATAAAACTGTGAAGGTATCCATAAATTACTGTTTTTCTACATCTAATTTGGCCTCAGTTATATGACTCTTAAAGAACACAAGTAATATGGTCATGTATTCACGATTTAAGGGTCAATTTGTACTGTAGAAGATCTCACCCTTTAGAGTTGTACAGATGTACTCTGCGTAGACTAACACGTATTTCACTGAAGAATAGACTGGGAAGAAGAATGCAAATTTTTGTTTTATGGTATCTTTTATAAACATTTTTTTAAGTATATGTGCTGCCGAAGACAGCACTATAAACATTATTCTAGCAATTGGTTACTTTCTGCAAAACAAAACATGCATATAAACAAGGTAATCTAAATGGTAAATGTTAAAAGAATAGAGCTCAATTCTCTCAGCCTTTAAACTTTTTTTTAAACTGCAAATTACCCTAACTTTATTTTTATTATTCCTGAAATCCTTATCTGTTTCTGTTCAGTCCTACTTTCTATTCCTTCAGCAAAGGCACCATTTGTTTGAAAAGTACAGTGCTCATAAACCACAGCATTTACGCTGGTTATGACTTGTGTCTTCTGAACTGGGTAAAGTCTCAGAGAACAAGCAGATTTGCAAGGAAATTATTCTCAGCCAGTGTGACCGAAGTCAGCTCTCACCTCCACATGCGTCCACTCAGCCACTTCCTCCTCTCTTAAATATACCCCCGGAAGCTTAAGCCCACCCTCTCCTTACACACTTTTCCTTCATATCCTTGTTTCTGCAAATGGATCTTAAAAGTCATGATTCATCACGGCTTCTATAAATTTACAAAACCAATTTCTCCAATTTGTGAGGATGACAGTAAACTCTAAAAGCGATAACAACATAGCAACATGCAAATGCCCACTTTGACTGAACATAGAGAATGTGACTCTGGGTAGTTTGGTTTGTGTAGCTATTATTTTGTTGCTAATTTTAAAATGAGTTGCAGACATTTATTTAATCTTATTGCACCAATAGTTTCGTAGAGAGGGAATATAAATCAAAGCTGGCACTGTGCTTCCTGATACAAATTGATGTAGAAACTTGAAAACAATGTATTTTTTTCATTTGCATTAAGTGTGCTGCAATAATGAGAGGCTGTGCCAGCTCATGTGGTGCAATCAATCATACATTAAGACTTGGTAATGGTATTTATCTTCCCCCTGCAATCAATGGATCCAGCTCAGAACAGTCTTTTCATATGAGTGTTATCATATCCCTTCAAGGCCCTGAAGCAGATGGCTTGGCACTTTATTTAAGTTCTACAAAAGTTAGAAATTCAGTTAAGGAGATAGGCACTGTTTAGAGCTTCAAGAGGCATAATGCTTGGTGTCTCCTTTCATTCCTGATGATATCATCCTGACTTTGAATGTCCTGATAGGATTTTACTGACTTTGAGAAATTGATAGGTTAAACCATTATTTTCTGTTAGTCACTGCTGAGTATTTACAGTTAAGGAAGAAGTTGTTGGTTTGGGGATTTTTTCTGTTGCTTAAAGATTTAAAAAGCCTGCTAGTATAGTGGAAGGTTTTCATTTTTCTAGCTTACCAGTGAAAATAAAGATTTAAAGCCTGCTAGTATAGTGGAAGGTTTTCATTTTTCTAGCTTACCAGTGAATTAAATTACCCACTTCTGCTAGTCTGCCAAGCAGAAAGTTGCATTCTGCTTCTCTGCCTGTTGGTATGAACTTAAAGAGTTGATTTATTCCAGATTTCAACATTATTTGCTGATTGCTCCATAGCAATGCCAAGCTTTATGAAAGAATCAAGGGATCATCTTTGCTACAGTGGGAGGAATAGACACATGTTAGAAAAGGAACATCTTTTCAAATGATATCCACATCGTAGACTCTAAAATCTCACTAGTAATATTTACTGTATTCAGAATTATATCACCTATTTAAAGCATCCCAATGTCTAAAATTAAAATTTCAAGTATCAATCTTTAGAAGATGGTTGGGTAAAATCCTGCCATTCATTCATTTTTTAACTTATCAACATTTATTGAATATTTACCAAGAGACAGGATCTTTTTAGTGCCAAGAGATTAAATGATGAGCAAACAGGAAAAACAAATGAGAAAGAGAAAATAAGAAAATATTTTTCAGTAATAATTTATGTAGTTTAGATTGGCATCTGATTGAATGGATTTAAAGAGCCATTCCTTTCCCAAAAATCTAGTAATTTCAATCAAAAGCTGGTATACTGCAAATCTTCAGGACTGTCTCAATTCTTTCCAAAGATTTTTCTGGAAAGTGGCTGTTTCTGGGTGAAGCTGCATTCACAGCCAGGTATTTTTCTTTCTTGGCCATACACAGTTTACAGTTCATCCTACATTAAACTATTAAAGCAAGATTAGTATTTCTTAGGCATGACGGCTTGAATTTTAATAATTTTTTTATTATCCATGTAAATTATTCCTGAGGAAAAAAAAGTCTATTATACTCTTCAAAAGAAGTAAAAATTAAAAGTTTGCGATACCCATACTTTTTTTATACAGGGGGAATAGATTCAACTCCCAAGCCTACTAGATATCTGAAATGCTAGTTCATGTTCTGTAAAACCAAAGAGTTAATTCTAGGAACAACAGAGGTTAAGAGTAGGAAGTATTGTTGAGAAAAAGAAAGCTTCTGTCTAAGAGAGACAAAAGAGGGACCGAAAAGTGGGTTGCCCTCCCACAGCACTCTTCAAAGTTATTTTATACAGCAAAGCCATGAGGTGAGGTGGGTGCAAATTAGGACAAAACTCTTAGACCCAATGAAAATTTACAAGGTAGGCATAAGGTGGGGCAAAACCATGACCAATCAGTAAGATTGCAAGTATAGTCACCGAGGTAATATTCATTAAATGGGGATCAAATGGGAAAACAAGCCACATATAAAGAATTTCTGATTTAAAATATCAATCACTGCTATCTTTAGGGGAACTAGTGCCTCTTTTTTATAATGCTAACCAGCGGATGTGCCTCCATTGTTCTCCATGTTGGCTCCTCGCTGTGCTGGCTCTTGGAGGGCTGCACCTTAAGGGCCCGTGCCTTCAGGGAGGCCTAGTCCAACTGCCTACAAGATATCTAATTAACTTGCCTATCTGCAATACACTCACTTTAAATCACACTGTGAATTCTGCATACTAAATATATAGAATGAGAAATACAAGGACAAATAATTTTTTAATTCTGATTAAACTTTTTAAAATTTCAGAAATATTCTGCATAATTTTATAGATATTAATTAGCATATTTGATGGTGTTAGGGGCTTGGGCTTTGAATATTTGTTTGGTAAACTAGTTTGTCACATGGTTATTTTCTAAAATCTCACATTTTAAACTTTATTTTTCAAATTCAGAGCCCTGGAACCAGACTGATGTAATTGTAACAATCATTTTACATTTTAATACAGACCTTTACTTAGACTTGTTTTTCATTTAGAAGGGCTTCTTTTTAAATTAAGTGATCATTTGTCTTTCAGTGTTTATACAACGTTGCATCTGTGATTATTGAAGTATATATGCCTTTTGAAATTCAAAAGTTTCATAAATATAAAATAGCTGCCTACTCATGGTTTCATACTACGAAACTGTTTTTAAGATCAAGTGTCAAACCTAAAATTGCATGTGATGTTTTCTGAGACAGACTGTCTGTTACTTTCATTCAGGATGGCAGATTCTTTCCTCCCAGAAAATTACTTTCTTTTTACTTCCCCAAATAATAATAGACAAAATATATTCAATTCAAATTGACATTTCTTCAGATTTACTTAAACTTAGGCACCTGAGAAATTCAGCTTGTGGAAAATAGAAAAGGTAACCATCCCTTTGTGTGTTTGAAAATAGACCTGTTAGACTTCGATTCAAGGTGGATGACTTCATCATTTCTTATGGAATCACTAAGCTATTAAATGCTGAAAGAATATATTTCTATAGTTTTAATTCCCATCATTCATAAGTATTAATCTAGGTAATTCCTGTAAGGAAATACAGATTTCTTATATAATTACATCAGACAATTACTCTTTTATTACATTTCTAAATTTATCCTATGAATAAAACATATGTTAAATGAAGAGCTTGGACTCTCCTTGATTCTCTAAAGTATGAATAGACATTGTCTGATTTAGTGTCATTTTTTAACACAAAATGAGATAATAAGTAGTATTTTGCCTAAAGTATAATTGGCACTTGTTAATTATACATTTTTTATTTTAATGTACTGATTCATAGTTGGTCCTACACAGTATAGAGAAATGGTGCTATTTGACAAAACTTTTGATAAATCTGTATTGCCAAAAAGATAAGGACCACATGTATAACTGAACTTATAAAAAAGAAAAGTCATTCGATGTTTTTAGTACTTTTTAAGTGAAACTTCTGTACTACACAGTATGGCATTAAAAAAATAAAATGACATAGAAGAGCAATATTAATATTAATTACCTTTAAAAGACTGCAGGTTAACATTAGGGACTAAAATGGAGTTGACAGGACACTTTAATTCTGCTTTGTGAGCAGATGACAGAAAATTAAAGCGTGACCTACTCTTTGCCAGAGATTTTGGTGGCCAGTGAAATGACACCGATTAAAGGAAAAAGATGGCATTTTTAAATGAGAAAAACTATATTTTATGGTGCATTAAGGATTAATTGCCCAGAAATTCCTGATATTATACTGGATACAGTAGATGGCAGGTGTTATTTTATTTTTGCAAAAATCTATATTTCATAAAGATCCTAAAGAAAGGGTGAATTTTAAAGGATGAATATTTATTACAAAGAATCATATTATATAATTAGCCTAGAAAAGAAAAAAATTAAATCTGTTAATGATCTTTTTTCTTTTATTATTCAACAGTAATTTCTTAGATCAAAACTGAAGTATGTTCAGCGCCATCCAAAATTTACCTTGTATCAAACCTTTTATTTTTATGGTTGTAAGAATCTATCAACACCAATAATTTGTTAATTGCCAAGGCCTCATTAATAAAGTTTCCACATGAATACTATCAAGCACGAGCTCCCTCAGCAAAAAGACTGTTTTAAAACTGAAGTTTACTTTGATCACTTCTGTTCTAATTCCAATCAGAACAAATACATGTTGTAAAATCTATTTCATTTTTTAAAAATTATTTCCACATCTGTTGTTAAACCAAATCTTAAAATTTAATCGGATTGGGAAGTCGGGCAGCAGAAGTAGACATTGCAATTTCTTTCAGTTTGACAGATACTCGTATGCTAAATAAAATTGAACTATGTAAAGAGTACTGAGTTTCTTCCTCACCCAGCTTGGTTTAGTCTGCATCAACTAACATAATCTTTCACCTTTATGTCCAGACCACAATTATAAAACTAACTTATTATTCAATAGTCAGTATTTTGAAATTATTCTTTAGCAAGAGAAATACATGAGCAACAATCAATAATTTTAGGAAATAATTAGAAAATCTTTTTTTAAAAAAAATTCTCCTCTTGCTTTCTCTTCCCAGTTCATATAAAAGCCTCATTTTTCATTGCTAAGAGGAACGTTTATAATCTTAGATGCAAGTTTCTTTCTAGGTACTGTACTCATATTATCTTGAAAGCCATTAATGAATAATAAGCTATATCAGCAATGTTTTTAACTTTGCTCAGTATTTTGACCACACCTATATTTTCTCTATTTTTAAAATAATTAATTATAAATTTACTATTAATGGATTATTCTAAAGTGAGATGCTCCATTAGGAATTATTCAGGCATTAATGTATGCAATACAAGGCACCAAAAGCAACTTCCAGTGGGCTGATGTGCTTTTTCATTTGGTGAACCCCTTAGTGCTTCCAGATGACAATTCATCAATGGTTTTGGGTTTGTTATTGTATTAAAGAATATCTAACTCGTCCACTTCTTATCTTATAGGAAATAAACGATGTGGATGTACAGGAACTTGTAAGAAGGTCAATTGGAAGGTTAACAATTATTCGGCAGACATTTCCTGTCCCCCAGAACATAAGTCAGCGATGTTTCCGTGGCAACCATCGAATATCTTCAACATTATGTGATCCAAAGGATCCGTTTGCGCAGAACATGGAGGTATATTCTAAAAGCCAGAATTTCTTCCTGGGTGCTTTGTTGAATAGCTGCACAGAGAGCTTTTTGAGTTGCATGAGATTCATAGTTATACATGTTATTGTTTCTGAGCATTCTCCTCCAGAAGTAAGTATAATAGAAGAGAGTGCTAAAGATCTGTGTCTTTGATCCTTTTGCTCTTAGCATAGAAAAATATCTCGTTAAATAGCAATATATTAGATAAATCAAGTGAAGAAGGAGGTAAGAAAGGGGTTAATGGTCATGATATATTATGTCCTAGTTCCTCAAAATGGACATCACTGCACTGCATTGCAAACATATACTGATAAAATAATGTCATGTCAAAAAAGAATAACAATATATTAAATGAAGGGATTTTTTTCTAAGCAAACAGGTTCACAGAATTTCCCATAGGAGAATTTGTGATTGATACTCCTAAAATCAAATGCAAACTAACAAGCTAAAAATTTACTTGACTTTTCTGGCATAAAGACAGATGTTTATTCTTCTTTTTTTAAAGATAAAATTCAGTTTGATGAACTTTAGTAAGACACTATTTAAATTTTTTTAAAAATTCTGTAGTATTATATAGACATAGCCAAATTAGATATGACTGAACTGAAAACTTCATTAACAAGAACACAATGAAGAATTTGAAAGTAAATAAAATTTCTGAATGGTAAAATACAGAACGTCAACTCCCTGCAGCTTGCTCATAACAAGACTCTTTAAATACTCAGAGTCCATTTCTTTTTGCCAAGGAAAACCCTAAAAGATTTTTTTTCTCTTTGCAGTGAAGAGGGCTCAGTCTGTCTTCCCAGAGGGGATGTCAGAAAAAGCAGGCATTCCAGCAACTGCAGGAAGCTGTAGAACACTCTCTAGCAAGGCAAGAGACAGGGGAAGGGAGACTCAATCGGACCCACGGACTTAACTGTCTAGGGTGTGTACAATCAAGTCTGGGTTACGAGGGTGTTGCTGTAGTTCAACACTAGCATATAAGAGAATATTTAAACAATTACTTGGACACACCAGCAAAAATTAAGGTCTGGAGCAATTTGAAAAGTCCAGGAACCATGATATTTTTAGAAAGTTAGTCTTTTAAAATGTCCACTGTGGGAAATATTTTAGTACTTAGAGACGTTCAGTTTGAATAATTTGCAAGTATGACGAGTTTATTATAGGTCGGTGATACTAGACAAATAAGGTAATTTGACAAAATAACTTCTTTTTTTTAAAGCTAATCCCACAGTCTATCCTTAGTCACCTTTGAGATTTTAAAAAATGAGTTAGCAGTCCTTCAACTATTTTTTCATATTTATTAACCTGGTAATAAGAAGTGTGGCTGCAGGATCATTGCCCATAGAGATTTGTTTCCTGCTGGATTTTAAACCCATTCAGAGTAGGTCACTTCTTGGACCTGACATCACCATATTCAACAATGTGCTTTTCCATAATTTTCTGTCCCATTGACCTCAGTGCTTTGCCCCTTTGTGACTACACATTTGAATGTCGTTTAGAAGAAAGCAATGACCATTGTAAGCCATTCTCAATCGCTAACAAGGCCCACTGAGAATTCAGGGCCATTCTTATTGTGCTGCTTGTGATGAACCATCTTTAGATTTTAACTGGCCATCAGCATAGTTGATGCACAAATGATAGCAATTCTAAATGGAGAAAAGCGTGGTAGAATTTTGACTCAGAAAATTGGGAAGTGCTAAAGGTTCTTCTTATTTAAAAAAATGGCAAGAAAAAAGTATGTCTTAAAAATCATTGAGTATGTCACTCAGGGAAAGCAAAAAGTATCTTCAAGCACATTTACCCTAGAGCACCATCCTTCCATTTCAAATAATCAGAAAACAAAGATTTTATTTAGCTCTGTGTTCCCAAATTACCTAATGCCTTTAGGCTGTAAGGTATTACCAACCTTGCCATATCCCACATCTTTCTCTTACTCCCCTCAAATACAAAAACTGGAGAATATAAGGAGGATCCTCTGAGGATTTGTTGCATATTGATTCCCCTTTATGTTTCTTACAATTTGACTAAATAATTTAATATTAGAGAAAAACAGAACCTTTTTTATGTGAAAGTATAATTAATTACAAATAATAGTATATGAGTAGAGGGCCCTTGAATTTTAAAATATTCCACTAAAAAGCAGAGCATTTAATGTACAGCCTTGCCTTGGTGGAAAAATTTTATCTCACTGAAGATACAGAAAGCAACCAAAAGCAAAATGATACTTTCCATTAAATTCTGATCAGCAAGGCACCACTGAGTGATAATTTGGGAGTTGGTAATTCTCTAGAAGTAACATCCTCAATTTCAAATCTATAGAAACAATGCAAGGAAATATGACCACAGATAGACTTTTAATTCAGCATTCAGAAGGGTGTGATCTAAAAATCTTTCAGAAAATATTATGCAAGTATGACCGAGCAGTCTGTTAAAATTTATATTCAACTGTAAAATCACATTAGTTGATGTAAGGAAAGGAGGAGAGGGCAGGGGAAGCCTGTGTAGAGATAACTGGTAGGCACTAATTTTAATATATGTAGAAAAAGAATTAAAATTTAGAAAGAAGTAAAAACAAGTTAAATTACTTCCAGAAAAACTAAAATCCAGGATTAGCTCATATTGTAAAATGAATAATAAAGAAAACTTCTCACATAGAAAACAGAATTTTTACATAATATGCAACAAGATGAATGTAGTGCATTTATTTCTTGGTGAAACCAATATTAGCTTAGCTGCTAATTCAGAGGCAATGGAAAGATTTTAGTCTTTTTGCCTCTGTTTTATCCACCCAAGAAAAATTGTCTGCAAATAGGGAATATTAGAGTAGAAGTCACCAGAAGAAAAGTAAATCACTGATTTAGAAGAAGCAGGGTGGTGCTGGAGATTATAATAATGCACTTGCTATAAATGAGGCTTAACAAATAACTGCTCAGAACAATCAATAAACCAGTAGATATGATTCTTTTTCATAATTTAGAAATGTGAAGGGAGTAGTTTAGAAGAGGGCCTAAGTACAAGTCGTTGGCTTGTTGTATTTATTTTCAAGGGGATGTAGAAAAGATTGTGACATATTTTATTGTATGAATGCTAATATTTAGGCAAATTGTCTATTGTTACATATGTGGTCTAGTGGACTTCCGTCAAAAAACCAGGGCTTCCTTACGAACAAGCTAAGCCAAATCAAGCCCTTCTGGATAGGTGTTTCATATGGGAAGGGTATCATGAAGCTGTGTGTTATGTATTGAGTTTTACATGGTGTTTGATGAATTTTCTCACCTGTAGTGAGAACATTGAAAGATCTAACCAGATTGGCTCCTAAAGGTAGGATATAGTAAAAATCTCTGGACTCAGAAAAAAACAAGTTCAAAATATTTTGAAACATCTCATTACCTTTAAAAGTTATAGAATATGTGTTTTTTTATAAAATTAAAGTTAGTTTCACATTATTTGGCACTTCAGCTATTTAGTTGTTTATTTCTCCAAGTCTTCAAGTGAAATGAATTTACCTTCCTAAATCAATCAAATCTTCCAGAAATATTGCTATAAGGAGAACACGTCTTTGATACATTCTGTATGTTTACTTCCTGATACGTACAGCCTACCAGTAGGTGCTTTTTTCCTCGTTCTGAAAAGTTTGTCATCTGATGAATATTCAAAGTACACTGATAAATATTTCACTGTTGAAGTGGAAGGAACTCTGTAGTCATCCAAAAGATTCTGTCCTTGTTCCCAATATTTTAAAATAGTTTGTCACTGCATGAATGAAAATGTATAAAACTTACCTATCAAATTTGCAAATGACAAAAAGCTAGGAGAGAAAGCTTATGTTGTCTTACATAATCAAGATCCAAATTGTTAATATTGACTGACTGGTTAAGCCTTAAAGTTTGAATTTCACAGAGATAAAGTATAGGTTCAAAATCAATTACACAAAGTCCAGATGGAAGTGTCCTGGTTGGACAGCTGTTCAAAGCCTTTAAGTTGAAGGAAAATTCAGAACAAGCACAGTGGAAGTCAGATTTGCTCCAAGCTATTTTAATATAATCTTGGACTCTGTGTCAGAAGCACTTTGCTAAGATCAGGAGATGAAATGTCTTACACACTGTCTCCTGGTCAGCTCACATCTGCATTAATGTGTCAGTCCTGGTTACTACATTTGTAGCAGAAACATTGGAAAACGGGAGGACAGAGGAAGCGAATGGATTTGATGAGCAGCCTAGAAACTGTACCAGATGATGAACAGCAGAAGGAAAGAGGATGTTTCAGGGCAAGTGACAGATGGTGTCAAATATTGTCACATTGGCTGCTGGAGGTTCAGTGATGTTACAAAACAAGTGTGGTGACAGTAAGCAAGAGAGAAACGAGAGCTCAGATGCAGGATCCTGGAATTTAAGATTTTAGAACTACTGTACGCTTGTGTCCAGAAAACAGTCGTTTGTGTGGCTCCTGGCCAGAGTAGAAGAGAAAATCATCTGGGTAGAAGTAAAGGTGCTGTTTTTGAAAGCTAAAAGATACTTCGGGATCATTTTGGGGGAGGATTCAAAGACGTCATGAATAAATAGGGTGGAGAGGTCAGTAGATGATAATAGAAAGAATGGAGCAGATGAATTTGAAAGGGAAACAATCACTTGCTTGACAAAGAAATCACAGGTGTGAGAGTGAGTCATTGTCATCACCACTTGTCAGTCCTAGCATCTAGAATGAGGACAGAGGAGAAGAGGTAGTCAGCTGTTGAAAACATCTACTACATATGGGGAATAAAGCACTCAACATTAAGACCAGCATAGATGTTCTTCGTATGTGTCTCAAAGTTTGCAAAGAGCCCGCATCCCGTAAGTCTGAGGCATGAGCATAACCCAGTTTGGGAGACAGATATTAACAGCATTGTTTGTTTTAAAGAAGCATGCATCAGTGCACTAGGAAAGAAAAAGAGGACCAGTCAGTGTCCTGCAGGATGGGGAGAGAGGGTGAGGAATGGTGAGGTAGGATTGTCCTAGCAGATCTCTGAACTGAATATTGAGCGAAGTTAACTGGTCGGAGAAAAGCAAAGACACATCAAATGATGCTACCAGTCTCATAGGCACACTTAAAGAGGTCCATCAAAAGACGAAAAACGATAGAGAAGTAAGAGGAGCAAATTTGAGGCAGTAGAGCCAGGAGAGTTTGGAAGCATCTATCAAATGATTTTTCCAGTGGTGCCTCTACCTGCCTTTCAAGAGCAAGGTCCTGAGTTTGATCCCAGGTACAAAAAAAAAAAAAAAAAAAAAAAAAAAAAAAAAAAGAAAGAAAGAAAGAAAGAAAGAAAGAAAGAAAGAAAGAAAGAAAGAAAGAAAGAAAGAAAGAAAGAAAGAAAGAAAGAAAGAAAGAGAAAGAAAGAAAGAAGGAAAGAAAGAAAGAAAGAAAGAAAGAAAGAAAGAAAGAAAGAAAGAAAGAAAGAAAGAAAAAAGAGTTGCCCTTCTTCATCTTCTTCACTGAGTACAGCACAGTCATTCTTTATGTTTCTTTCATATTTTTCTCTTGAGTCTTTCCAATCTTAGTCTGACTTGAATAGTGATTTACTGGCTATTTTTAAGTCTCACTTCATGGTAGATTTAAGCCATTCTTTTAATCTCTCTCAGAGCTATCTGTGTGGGAGAGGGTGAAGACAATCAGCCTTGGTATCTACTGATAAAGAACAAACTTGTATTTCACATTATGTCTAAGAGTGTTCAATGACTCTTTAAAGAAACCTCCCTACTGGGAATTAGTATACATGTAATATGATGCTTAAAAAAGGTGAATGATTAAAGATTTACGCAATGTGTAAAAAAACAAAGAAACAAAACAAAACAAAACCTCACAAGGCATTGTTAGAAAATTCTTATTTATGACTGTGTATAACATCAGACTCTAATTATCCAACTAGCTAGATTTTAGTACTGTTCTGTAATGTGCCTGTACTATTTGATAGATTTCTTTCTTGATTAATTACAACCAAATAGCAGTCCACATATTCTCCCTTTTCTATTTATTTATTTATTTATTTTAGTACCAGGGATTGAACTCAGGTCCTTGCGCTTGTGAGACAGGCAGCAAAACCAATGCGCTAAATGCCCAGCCACTCCCTTTTCTTTTTCGGAAAAATTGTGCTAGCACAAGTTTGAATGTTTTAAGATGAAATCAATTTCCATCACTATCTTGATCTATCATTTTAAAATTTCTGCCAGGTTTCTCCTTCTAAGAGGTATTAACATTTAACCAATTTTACTGGCCTAGGATCCCTTTGAAAATGAGCATGTTTGGTAATCAGTTGATGTTACAGACAGTAGTTTGTGCAAGACTTAATTGCAAGAGTGCAAAGACCTTAGCAAAAAGTGGGGATAGTTCATTTTTAAACATGTGTTGAAAGAAGATAATCTCATGATTACCTTAGAAGCAAACATTAATATAAACACATTTACAAGCTGATAATAGTTTATGGTACTCCTTATGTCCATGAATTGCAAAGCATGTATATGGCTATATCATTTTGTATAGATAGGTGATCATTATGATATTTTATGAATGGTTCTATTTTCTCTCATTTCTTCATTACAGTGTTCCCCTTACAAATGTGCATACCAATGGCTGTTTCCTTTTTGCACCTATGATACTCATATGTGAGATCCCGTGGATATTTCTCCATCTGAATAAGTACAGTGCAGATATCTGGCACATTCAGAGAATGTATTATTCAGTATGCCCTTCCAGTCTTAAACCCTTACATCCTCACGTCCCCAGAAAGAAATAGGGCCAGTGATTTTCTATGGTCTGACACTAACAGCCTTGCCTGTGTCGAGACTTCTCTTTTTTTATCTTCTCTTTCATACCTAAATAAGCTGAAAAACCAATTGAGGCATACAATCAGACAAGACTTCATTCTCAATGGCAAAAAAATTGCCTGGGAAATGAAAAGAAAGAAAGAAAGAAACCTGCTTAATAATCCCATAAACCAGCCATCTATGACAGGAACAGACGCAGCAGCTGAGCCGACGATTTTCTCCTCATTCGAGAAGGCTGGCATCAATGATTCTAATGATCACTGTCTAATGTCTTTTCAGATTTCAAACCTTTACATATACGACACGGTGCTTCTCCTTGCTAATGCTTTTCATAAGAAGCTGGAGGACCGAAAGTGGCACAGCATGGCAAGTCTGTCATGCATTAGAAAGAATTCCAAGCCCTGGCAGGGGGGGCGTTCCATGTTAGAGACCATCAAGAAGGTAACTACTGACGAGCATCTCACTGTTGTCAATGTTCATGTAAGGAGACTACAACAGATCCATGTGTGGTGAAATATCCCTTAAAGGTTGTTTTTCTCACTAATATCGCTGCCAACTCAAAAGCACAAAATGGGGGAAGTGAAATATTGAAAAACAAAAGCCTGAGGGGGACGAACATGTACAGAAACAGGGCCTTTATTTGTCTGCGAGAAAAGTTAAGCAAGTAAAAAATTAGAACTTGAGATACTTTAAGTTGTCCTGGCCTTGTCGTTTAGGTGAAAGATGCGCCAATTACCTCGGTGCTTGTCACAAGCCACAAAAACTTGTTTGCTTGTTTTGAAAAACCACACCATCAAGTGAAAAATATCTGCAGGACTTAGCACTTCTGCATTTAGAGGGAGCACGATAAGACTCTGGATGTCGCGACCTTTTGTTTATCTTATAATGAAGACAGGACTGTAAACAGCAGACTGCAGAGCTGCGGGACGGTTCTGGGCGCGGGATCTCGCTTTCCTTTCTCATCACTGTGTCGTGCTTCCCAGTCCTGCGCTGACCCACTTGGGCTGAGCACTTTACGCGGCTCAGCTCTTCTCAGAGGTATAAACACTCCGCAGTTTATTAGCTTCTTTGTCACGTCGTCCTTGCTGACGATGTCTTCTGTTTGCCTTGCGTGGCTTCTTGCATTTAAAAATGAAATGATTGATAAAACACACAGATTCCTCCTGGACCCTTTCCAGAAAGGAGACAGCCATTTGGAAGTTCATGTTATTTATTTTAAATGTCTTTTGCGTCTCTGCATATTTGCCTTTCTCTCCTGAAACAAAAAGAAAAATAGCCAGTCAATTGAAATATTTAGAGAGGTCAGACAAAAATGTAAAAATTTAACATTAGAAGTAAAATAGATACAGAAAAACAAGAAGTGCAGGAAAAGCATCTTTCAAATGGAGAATAACCTGGATGTTTCTCTAGGTCCTGTTTCCTTTTTATAAAAGAATCCCTTTGATGAACATTTAGCCTCGTATCTATCAACTGAAGCACTTGAGAATTAAAATTTATTGAATATATTGGCAGGGAAAATTTTTCAACTGAGAAATGAGTAAGTCCAGCACAAATCAAGGTGTTGCCAGAATCTCCCAGCTTTATCTATGTAGAGGGCTGGCAGGTAGGAATCTAAGGGAAGTTGTTGAATATGACTTTGATCCTGCCAACTTATTAATTGGTGGTTTGGCTAGGGCCCAGGGATGTGAATATATTCATTCTTCCAAACCTTTCTTACCAAGATAGAATAATGTTTCAGGAGGTTGCATGTTTTGAGGGAGAGTATCAATAGTAAAAGAGAGACAACATAATATGTAGCTATTTCTTATGTAGCGATTTAATATCTAAAATTTTGCTGTTAGAAAATTTATAATCCAGTGGGGCAGAGTGATGCATATCTGTAATCCTAGCACTTCGGGAGGCTAACCTAGAAGGATCCCAAGTTTGAGCACAGCCTGGACGATTTAGCAATTTGGTGAGACTGTTTTGATCCCAACAATGAATGTAACTGTACTGTATCCCTAAAATGTACCAATAAACTCAATTAAAGCTGAAAAAAATAGCTTTTTAAAGGGCTGGGGGTGCAGCTCTGTCCCTATTCTTTTCTGGAAGCCAGGTGCTGATTAGGGAGGGGCTGACCTATCACTGTCTTGGTCATCAGCCCTTGATAATGAATTTAGTTAAGACACAGAGGCCATGCAGATGTGTAGGCAGAATTTATTGTGAAGGAGATGAAGAGAGAATTACACCTTCAAGTGAGAAGACAGGCACCTGTACCGAGTGGGAGCCTGGATACATTTTTATACACACTAGAATTACTGTTGAGATCTGGGAACTAGGGTAATCATGAGGCTTATCAGCACTACACTTAGAAGTTACTTAGAACTGCCTTCCTGGCCTTTTCAGATGGTCAGTGTTTCCTTGGGGGCTTTAATCATGTAAGAAACATACAAAAGATAAGCTTTCACATTAAACCAGGCCCCAGTCCAAGGCTGGAGGATCTTTCAAGAATGTTTTCCTTTCTATATCAGCAGGCTAACGTTAAGATGTCCTTGTGGGATCGCTTCGGTGTGAGACTTAACAAATGATTAGGAATATATTATACACTGAATTTTCTTTAATTAACTGGCAATGTATTCTACTTTGGGACCACCCCCTCAAAAAATCCATCAGGACCCCTAAAATCTAACTGCCTAACACCAGAACTGAAATGAAAGGAGATGTGATGTAAATGTTTTAAGTACAAAATTTTATTTTAATGAACTATTTGTATATTTTTTCCAGTAAGCTGTTACCTCACTTTTAAAAGAAATATATCAATTCTGTGCATAGAAGATGTTAAGTTTGCATGATATAGAGAACAATACAAACTTACTCTAAAAGATGCAGTTTTTTCTCCCCATTATATCACCCTTTATGGGTGTTCTGGTCCTGTTGATGCTGATGATACTGCACACACCTGGATAACTAGAGAGAAAGTTTGATGTACACACAAGAACTACAGGGAGAGCCATGAATCCCAGCAGATGCAACCTACCTTGGACAAAGCGGGAGAGTCCGGGCCTGCTAGTGACTAGTGGTGGGGCTGGGGGAAAGTTTCCAGTCACGTGGACAGCAGGCAACACTGCCTATGGGTCTCGTATAGTGTGAGGTACACTTTCTCATTAGCATGTCCAGATGTGCGGCTAAAGGAGGAAGGGAGAGTAAGGCTTAACAAGAAGGAAGCAGATACACAGCACAAATGCGGTCAGGCTCTGTATTGCCGTGCTAATATTCTGGTGATAAAATCCTTAATTACATTCACATAAACATGGCATGCCAATATTAAGGGCATGCAGTACTGACTTTACCAGTTCTGTGCTGCTGCCCAGAACACAACCAGTGAAAAAACAAGTTTCTGTCCCTGAATAGTTATATTCTGATTAGAGAGATGAACCCAAAGTTTAAATAATGATGCAGTTGACATAAATAATATAAATGTGCATCTTCCAAGATACTACTGTGATGCAGCTTTATAATTCATTAAAATTATAATTCATAACTGGCAGCATAAGATTCCCTTTTATTGTTCTTTTACTTTCAAAAATGAGAGGCTGATTCTCAGTGACTGTTTTTCTCATCACGGCAACTTCATGCTTTGGTCATCTACATGGATTTTATAGAATATTTTTGAAAAATATATAATTAAAAAATATGGAGTCTTCCCATCTATAAACATAGTATATTTGTCATTTTTTTATAACCCTCCTGAGTGATTTGTCATGTTCTGTACGCATATTTCAACTGTTACTTGTTCTTAAATTTTACAAGACCTTGTGTGTTTGTGTGTGTGTTCATGCTATGATGAATGGAATATGTTTCCACTATATTTTCAAAATTGTTATTATAGGTACTTACATCATTGACATTTAATACATTTTTTGATTGATCTGGTAAGCTTTTGAAACAAATACTGGTAGCACTGGTTCTCACTTGTTTCTTCATAGCTTATTCTCTGGTGTTTGCAAACAGATGTTGGCATCATTCTAAAAAAATTTTTGTTATCACTTTGATTTTAATCATTTGGGGTTTTTTTTAAATACTTTTCTTGGCTAACATACCAGCTTCTACTTCCAGTCCTTTATGATTTTAATGATAACTACTGCTTTAATTTAATAAAAAGTCTTAAGTAATACATTATCAGTTGTATCACAAGTATTGCATGAGGTGAGATTTAAAAAAATCGTGAGGAAAGTATACAATTTTATTTTATTATTTTTACTATTAAATTTTTATTTTTATGAAGAACTCATAAATCTTGGTCAAGCAAGGTACGATTAAGTTAATCTAAACCAATTTGATGTACAGATAACTGAGCCTCAGACAAGTTAAATAACTTAGGAAGGGTTACACAAGTAATCAGGGTTAAATATCTAATTTTTTGACCTCTAATTTGGTCTTCTTCATTCTATACCATTTATCATTTTTATTGTTCGTAGATGGGTTGGTTTTTGGTTTTTTTTTTTTTTTTTACATTCCTGTCAAAATCACTTGGCTAAAGAAAACTGTGACCATGGGAGTAAACAGCGTGTGTTAAAATTATATAAGCCATACCTAAATTTTAATACAGCTCTTTAGGGGTGATTTTTCAGTAATTTTTCAGAGGTACACTGACTTACACAAATTTTAGGAAGGAAATTTTATGGTGCATGTGATAATGTGTTGATATTACATAACCTAGAGCAAGCTTTCAAACTGTTTTAACTCAGTAAGTAAAATCCATAGAAGCTGAGCTCCTCTGGAAGGTGGGGAAGGAGTGCCAGAGACGTCCACCACCACAGTCCCTTCAGAGGGTCGTAGTTGAAAACCACTTCCCTGGAGCATCTAGAAATTAACTTAACTAGAAGAGAACTGTGTATCTTCTTCTTCATAGACAGTGGATTGGTGTCGTGCCCAGGCAGCATAGACAGCCTACTTTTAATTATAGAACTTTCACTGTGTAGCCCAAAAATGTTCGTATAAAAGTGATTAAAATACCGTTATATAATAAAAAATGATCAAGAAAATACAAAGTATAAAACATACTGAATTAACCCACACTTACCTTTGTAAGCTTTCATGGCTGGTGTGAGGGAGACAAGAGAGAGGAGGGTCATTATATACGAAGACTTTCACTGTGGCTAATACAGTGACTGCTATCTATCAGCTCAATTAAACCTTTTTCTTTTCATGGAACTTTAACAAGGAAACTATGCACTGACACTCACTTTTGCCTCCTTTTGAGGATTTCACAGAAAGGTGCCTGCAATGTGGTTAAACTGATTTATCCCTTGCACAACTGCAGCCTTTTTCGGGTGGTGATTTTCTACAAAATTTTGCACTGTTTCCCACATTTTCATGCCTCTAATCACATTTGAATTGAGCAATTCCTCTACTTTTTCTCTTTCTCTTCAAATGAGATCTTCTGAATAATGTCTTGCTGTTGGGAAAAGATCACCCATAATCCAATCCAGGAAAGAGTGGGGGGGGGACACAGGGAGAGGGAGAGAGGGAGAGGGAGAGAGAGGAAGAGGAGGAGGAGGAGAGAGGGGGGAGGAGGGGAAGGGCCAGGAGAAGAGAAGAGAGGAGAGGAAAGGAGAAGGAATGACTCAGTTGTGATCATGTGACTTTCAGCATCATGCATTACTGGTATTGAAAAACATCACTCATTTATCAAGTTAAAATTTATTGGAAACATTTGCTTATCTTACAGCACACTCACAAAACGAGTTTCTCATAGTCCAATGTTTTACTGTATAGGAAAAGATCCTTCAACCTTATAAACAGAGTGAAATAAAGTCTTAGTAAGCATTTTCCACTTTTTTCCAATATTTTTTCCATATGAATAACAAACCTTTGCCTTTAAGAAACTTATTATCTGTCTTTTGTGATAAATTATCCCCAACTTTTGGTTTTCCCTTTTTTATTTTTCTTCTCCTTGCACTCCACATTTGGTGCCCACTGGTATTTTATATCAAATGAATAGGATAAAGTCCAAACTAATGTATTTGGTATTTGTCAAAAGGTTTGCTCTGGCAGCAATGTTTCCTGTCAAATTTAGAGGACATTTGGAAATTATGTGTGTGTGTTATTCAGCCCGTCAATGTCTCATTAGCTTATTTTGTGTGGAATGTGCTGCATCACCCAGAGATAAAAAAAAATACTCCCATGTGTACTCAAAGATAATGACTAGTCATTACCACCTGACCAGCATACATTTTTGCCACAGCTCTGTTTTCAAGGTTAATCCAAGGATATGTAAAAAAACAAAACTAAACAAAAAATCTCAAAAACACTGGAGTTTTCTAAAGTGATCAGAAATCAGAGAGGTTAAATCCGGGTGAGATAAACTAGGGTTTCCCTTAGAGGGTTTATTTACTTAAAATGTCGACCTCTCCAGCATCCCTGACACCTCCATGAGGGCAGGTTTCACTGATTACCCAGCCGACAGCTCATTAAGAATATAGCATAAAGAAGATAAATTACAAAGACAAAAGGTGAACGAGGTAAGCAAAGGCTGCAGCAAACTAAATGCAAAAGTCCCTGCTTTATTGTTTTTGTACCTTGTGCTCTGTAAGTTCCCTGAGTCACTCAGTTCTGAATATTAGCTAGGGACGAAGACCTGGCCCATGGTGGCCATGTGAGTCATAATTTAGAATAAGAAATAAGAAAGCAGCAGAAGACAAGCCAGTATTGAAACATTTAAAATTTTCAGAGTATAGTATTTTTCAATATACAGTCCTTTCCTTTCCCCCACAAATAAAGTACTAAAGCAAACAGTTATGACTCTGATGTAATTAAGATATATTATTAAGGTATGTGTGACTGAGGACAACAAAAGCTCTTACAAAAAGAACCCTAGGTTTCAGTAGTTTGAATTTACATGTAGTAGAATAAACTGCATTTGCCAGCCAACCTCCTGCAGTTTTTACCTTTTGGAGATAAGTACTAATAAAATCCACTCTTCTTAACTCAATCTCCAAAACCTTGAGTGATGCTTCACAAGGGTTGGAATTTATTTTTGCAAATTGGATATGTTTCATGAATTGCAGATACAGGCAAGTGAGGAGTACAGACAAAGGGAAGAGAGTATAACACATTTAACACGGTTAGTGAGGTCCATCTTTTCCATATTGGATGTGCACATTCCATTTCCAAAGAAGGCTTTGCAGGTTGACTTTTCAAAGTAACAAGCATGTATATTAAGAAACATCTCAATTCTTATTCTAGAAAACATAAAGCTTCTGGATACTTCCAGAGAGCCACAAACCATAGGTCCTAGGCTGATTTATGACAGTAATACCTTATCCTGGTGTAGCCTGCTAAGGACTTTCTATACAAAAAGACTCTTCCTCTTAGTAAATATTACTACCCTGTGTACCTGCAGTTATAGTCCACAGGGACTTTAGACCTACTTACCCCATATACACCTAGTACATATTGTAACAAGGAGTGAACAGATCTGAGATCTGCTTTAACACTTTTCTCCCCAAGGAGTAATGAATGAGATACAACTGAGTTGATATTTACAAAAAAACTTCCATAGCCATCTAAATATTCATGCACATAATGAATTTTTGCAAAACAAATAAACTTTAAATGAAAAAAGTAATACTATGCCTGCAATTTGTAAAATCAAAAAGCCTCAAATATAAAAAAATAAAATTAAAATACAGGTAATGATGATAAGAATAGTAAATAACCTACCCATAATGAATATAAGCATTATATACTGCAAACATGTACTCATAAAAAAGTAAATAACATCTCAACATTTCAATCACTCTTCTGTATTCTTTTTTATTAAGTTTATTGGTACTTTTTAAGGATACAGTACAGTTACATTCATTATTGGGATCTTGTACCTTTAAATGACAGGTCTTGGGTCTCATTTTTTCCCCTTGTCCCTGCCCTCCCTTTACACTCTCCACCTTCCCCTATTTACAAAGAGTTTGTTTCCATTTTTTCCTTTTCTCACATTTTTTCTTTTCCCTTATTTTCTTTCCCCTCCCCTTCTGTATTCTTTACCTATAATATGCTATCATCATAATTATCATCTGATGACTAAGTATTATTATCTTTCTCATTTAACACAAGTAGAATTTCAGGCACTGAGAAATTAGGTGACAACCAGATTTGCAGAGCTAGGAGCTCTGATGCTACTGGTGCAATCCAGGAAGTGTGACCTCTTCGTTTGATTGCTACATTGAATATGAAAGGGGCACAGGCATCAAGGTCAATTTATTTTGTTATCAACAAAACTGGATAATGAAATTGATTAAAAATATAGGAGGATTAGCTAGGCGTGGTGGCGCACGCCTGTAATCCCAGCACTTGGGAGGCTGAGGCAGGAGGATCGCTGTGAGTTAGAGACCAGCCTGGGCTACATAGTGAGTTCCAGGTCAGTCTCAACTACACAGTGAGACCCTGTCTCAAAAAAAAAAAAAAAGAAAAAGAAATATATAGGAGGATTAATTTGGTTAATTATAACTACTGTGAAACGAAATGGATTAAATATTGCAAGGTATGGTTAAAGTACTGAAACATCAATCCATAATGGCTTCTTTAAATTTTTTTGTGAACCTAGCATCACATGCAAGCCCAGAAGGCATGGCGAAATAGGTGTTAGAGGATGATGGGAGCAAGTTACAAACTGAGAGAATTTCTTCTCTAAATTTATGTCATTATTAGGCCAAAATTCTTAGTCAGACAGACTTTAACTTTGAAATGACTCAGAATGTGGTGTTGATTTGCAAAGTCCGAAATGATATGAAGTCTGATAAACCAAAGTGAGAAGAGAATGGCAAACAAGAAAGAAGTCTGACCTACATTGCCATCTGTTGGGGAAACAAACATCTGTCATGTTGAATGAAAGATCCAGCTTGGAAATTCCCAGTGATTCTCAAAGCTAGCACTATCAGTAAGGAGGAAAAATGGTTTTCAAGCCTAATTTAGCTCTCTCTATATATACATATATATATATCTATATATATCTATATAGATATATATAGATATATATATATCTAGATGTATATAGATGTATACACATCTATATATATATAGATATACTTTTTTTTTAAAACAGGGTCTCAGTGTGTAGTTCAGGCTGGCCTTGAACTCATGGCAATTCTCAGCCTCCAGAGTTCTGGGATTACAGACATGCATTAGCATATTCAGCTCATATTTACAATTTTATTGTCTATTTTCTTAACTGATACATTAAAAAAAAACTAAATTTGTACATAATAATGGGGCATCTTGTGATGTTTTGCTTTAAATACTGTATAACGTTTAAATCAGGTTAAACATATCTATTTCCTCAAACATTTGTCATTTATGATAAAAACATTCAAAAGTCTTCTAGCTTTTTGAGGTACATAGTACGTTATTGTTGTGATTTGGAAAATACTTACAGAAAAGGAAACTGGATCTTCAATAATTTAAAAAACAGTGGTTTTAAGGTTTGGGGGCATAATTTTAGATCAAGGGCCAGGGATATAGCTCAGTGGTTCCGCCACCTGCCTCGCAGGGGCAAGGTCCAGAGTTAGGTTCCCAGTACCAAAAAAAAAAAAATTTTTGTTTTTAGATCAAATCTGAATGGAAAATAACAAACTATTGTATCAAAATTTGTCTCCAGAGTAGATTTAGATGCTCACCACAAGCATTTGTGTTTTAACTAATGTTTTCAGGCAAGCCACAGGCAAGGCCGCAAAACCTCTAGCCTGGAATTTAGTCTGAGCAGCAACATGTGCTGTGTCGTTGTGAGCAGTTATTAGACTCTTGGGCCTGTTTCCCTGACTGTATGGCAAGTGGTTGAGATAGGCTTAAGTGATTTCCAAGATTACTTTCAACTGTACTCTTGTTTATGTGGTTTACTTCTTTAAAATAATCTGTTAATAATTGCATACTTGAAATGTTTATTTTATAGATGGAGAGTTTCAAGGACTTCCTCTTGTTTCCTTTCTTTTTTTCTTTTTGCTTTTTTTGGAAATTTTTACAGGACTATCTGTTCTCTCTTTTAGGGTGGAGTTAATGGCTTGACTGGAGAGCTAGAATTTGGAGAAAATGGAGGTAATCCCAATGTCCATTTTGAAATTCTTGGAACCAATTATGGAGAGGAGCTTGGCAGAGGTGTCCGCAAAGTAAGCCAAGACCCACTTATAAATATGTTTTTTTATTATGCAATTTATGTTTTGTCTTGATTGCTCGCTGTGTAATGTGATTGTGGTGCACTGAAGTTCACACTGTAGTGGAAAGGCAGGGAGGGAGGCAGTGAAAGAGTGGAAATTAGGCACTGAAATGATCTTGCACAATTGCCAGAAGAATAGGGCCATAAATTCTCTCGGTCTTAGAATAGTTTAAAGGAAGAAAAAGTAATACGATGTGCACCTAGTCAACTGGTATTATCTTTTATTTATTATAATTTTCATAAAGCAGTTAATTTAATATTTATACTATGCCTAGATACTTTTTGAATAGTAACATGTACAAAAACAGAATAAGAGCTTGGATAAACTTCATATAATAGGACAGAAAGTATACTATAGAATGTGATATCATAACATTTTACCTTCTTTGCATGTCATTAATAAGCAGAAAATACTCCCGGGAAATTAGCTCTTGCTGTGTAGTACAGATCATATATAAGAAATAGGTAAGTATTGGGGGCCAGGGATTTAGCTCAGTGGTTCTGCTGCCTGCCTCACAAGTGCAAGGTCCTGAGGTCGAGTCCTGGTACCAAAAAAAAAAAAATAGGTAAGTACCAATAAAGGATATTTCATGAAATACTAGGACAATATCTTTCTGAAGGAGAAATAGAAGAACCCTTAGAAGAGTGACTTTTCTATACTTTGGATTTGCCATTTTTATATACTTTTGGTGGGGGAAACCCAAGGTAATTGAGTTAGCAGAAGAGCTTGTAACTATACACATCTAACCATATGCAGCTGACGTTAGTAGCTCACCAATAGGTGCGTGGAAGATGCAAAAAAACCTACACAAAATGAATACAGGAGCTGCTAGTATCAACAATAAAGACTTTCCAGTACATAAATTTATAGTGAGTTGAACCTATCTTTATGCGTTTTAAATTTTACTTTATAGTAAAAAATAGCAAAAATATATAAAACTGTGTAGAGCACAAGATGGTTTAGTGAATTGTTTTAAAAGAAACATGCACCACTAGGGTTGAGAAATAGGACATATTGAAAAATCTTACACACCCTCCTGTGCTTTTCTCTGATTACCTGCCACTCTAACCTCTCTTCTCATGGTATAATCTTATCATAAAAATTTTATCATAATCTGTTTATTACTTTCTAAATATAGTTTTATCACCTATGTTTGCACCTTTATTTGTTTTGCCTATATTTCAGCCTATCAATTAAGTCGGTGTTGCATGCATTATTTTTCTTGCTTCTGTTCAAAAGTATGTCTATATCATTCATCATTGATGTAGTTTATTAATTTCTGTTTTCTGATATACAAATGTGTCACAATTTAGTTTCCATTTTTACACTACTACAAGCAATGTGGTTGCAATCATTCTTGAGTATAGCCTCTTGGATATATATGCTCTTTTATTTAAACATTCTTTGTTTGTTTATTTGTTTGTTCTGTCCAGGAGTCTCATGTTCTATTCAAATCATGGATTTGTCAGACTTCTAAATTTTTTATTAATTTCTGCTGTTATAGTATAACCTTGTAGGTTCAATTTGCTTTTCTGTGATTATAGTAAAACTCTTAAAACTTTTCCTGTATTTTCTGGATGTTCAGATTTCTTTTTTAATGAGTTACCCATTCAAGTTTTTTGGCCATTTGGAGGAGAAAAATAAATTTGTTTATTTTAAGAGATAAACAGATCTAGGTAGATATAATTATTGAACACTAGTGCTTTCCTGTCTCAAGATTTTATATTCATACCTTTATAACACTTTAAATTTAGTAGAATTATTAATTTTCTACTTGATGATGATGATGATGATGATGATGATGATGATGATGATGTTTGTTTGGTACCGGGCATCGAACTTGGGACCTATCTTTTGGGATGCAAGAGGCAAAACCACTGAGTTAAGTTCCCAGCCTCTTACCTATATGATTATTGATAGTTTTTGTTACTGAAGAAATCATTTCCTGTCCTCATAGTTAAAAAAATATGTTGTCAGTTATCTTCCAACACATTTATAGTTTTGTCTTTTAGTTTGTCTTTTTTCTAGCTGGAATTTTTAATATATGGGGTGAGAAAAGAGGAAAATTTCAGGATTCAATGTAGTATCATGTTTGTTTCATTGAAATACAAAGACAATTTTGTTATAGTGATTTTCAATAACAGCTTTATAATGTGCTTTCAATAACTGCTTTCATAATCCAGATCAAATTATAGAAGATTTCTATCACCTAGAAAAATCACTGCTTTTTTAACAACAGAGATAGTTTCCTTGGTCTGGATGTTCATATAAACAGATAATGTGGTATATAGTCATTTGTATCTTCTTTCTGCCTGTATGTATTTTTATTATACATCCATATTTTTATTTAATTTGAGTTTTTTTGTTCATTTACTTTATATTCATGAATATCTTCATATTCAGTGACTATCAAAAGTTACTTTTAAAATTTTTATTTTATTTGTAATATATGCAAATAACCAATATTTTATATCCAGCTATCTTGTTTACCACTTTAATTTAAAAATCTTAGGTGAAGATTCTTGCACATTTACTAAAAATTGTTATCTTATCCACAGTTAGATTTTTATTTTTTTTGAGAGGCTGAGGTAAGAGGATCACAAGTCTGAACCCAGCCTAGGCAACTTAGCCAATTACACCTTGTCTCAAACTAAAAACTTTTTTTTTTTAAAGGGCTGATATATAGCTCAGTGTGAAGGTCTAAGATTTATCCCCCATAACCAAGAAAACATGAGCATTTTTATTTCTCCTATTGTGGTCCTATTATTTCATCTTAGGGCAATAATGAGGGAGAATGGTGGTTTTAAGCATCTTTGGATTGTTAGCAATCTCAAAGAAAAAAAATTTCAATATTATACTAAGAATATAAGTTTTTTTAATTTTCCTTTTATTAACTTTGATCAGATTACAGAAGCTCCAACTAGGCCTAGGAAATATATTATTTTTATATACAATTAATTGTATATATATTTGTTTATATAAAATTATTTGATTTGCTGTCATCCTGCTTAAAGTTTTTACACTGATATTTATGGTAAGGGCTGCCTGACCTTCTTTTTGTCAGATTTGGATGCAAAGGTTATGCTGACCTAATCTAGATGAGCTAATAATGTGAACATCTAGAACAGTGGTGGTGAACCTATGGCATATGGTGCTGCAGCTGGCTGTTTGTTATCACTGAAAATGCTAAAAGGTTCGCCATCTCTGACCTAGAGCCATGCCCAGTATATCAACAGATGCAGTTGGTTGTCTTTAATAAGAAAAATCTCAGTAGAATGGCAATACCATATTTTTAAATAGCAACAATAGAAAAGTAAAAAGAAGGATGAAGAAAACAGGTGATAATTAACTAGTTTTGCAAAGATGAAAGGGAGAATTCTTAGAACAGAAGAGACTGGAGAATATTTGAACACTCACAGCCCAAGCCAGAGGGAGGCAGAAATGAAGAATGTTTAGCACTGATATAAACCCATTAAAAAAAAGAAAATTAAATCCAGAATTAGGTGGAATTATTAATGTTAAGCATAGTGGATGTCATTTTCCAGAATGACGAAAGAGGGGGAAGGAGAGAACGCTACGTTTAGAAGCAAGTGTTCATGTTTCGTGTTAAGAGGCTAACAGAATAGTTTGAAAATAAATTGTTCTCTCTTGGAGAAGCGGGAAGTAAGATTATCTTCTAAGACAGAAAGGACGTAAGAAGACCTTGGAGATAATGAAGCAGGAGGTTTGAAAATAGTTTCTAAAAGTTTGGAAATGATATCTGTGGTAAACAGGAGAGATCTGACTAAAAGGATCTGGAAAAATTGCCAAGTGGGGCTGTTGGCTCCTGGGAGGTTGAAGGAAAGATCTCACTGTAGCAATGACGTGCATGGTTGTGCACGTCTGTCCAGCGTTCAGGCTGTTCACGTCTGTTCGGCTGCCTGGGTGAGTTCGGACTAACAGGCCTGGCCTTTCTCGGGTTCTTTTTGTTTTCTTTGGGTTTTGAGAATGGTTGAAGTGTTAGAGGATTACATCTAAATGGGATACACATAGCTGTGAAGACATGAAGAGTCTCACCAGCGCCACCGATGGCTCAGGAGGTTAGCGCATGGGTCTGTCTGCACATTAGCGAGGCATGAGGAAGTTTCAGAGCCAGAAGAGCTGTGTTTGGGAAAAGGGTGGATTGATTTTCCGTGAGGGTGAGGGTGGCAGAAGAGACTAACGTGTTCAGTGTTACCCTAAGATTAGCATAGTTGCTTCATTCTGCCCTGAATTCTGAGCCTGTGACTTGTTATCTCTACTATTAAGGTGACAGTGATACACAGATATCAAATTATCTATTTTAACCTTAAGAAATATTAAATGATTCCTGCAATTATTTATGTTTTTTTCCTCAAGTTCCCCAAAAGGACTGAAGTACTCCTATGAGCTAGCATTCTGCATGTAAAAGGTCCTAATATTTCTGCAAAATATTTATTCTATGGTGCTTTTTATATTATCGATATGCAATTTTTGTGTGTTGTTTAAAATAATTTAAACATTTGCAACTTAAAAATATTCATCTTTGTAGCTTAAATGTTTTTCTGCAATTTTAATTAACACCCAAATTTATAAAATTCCTAATCTAGCCTTCAAATAATCGTAAGAGTAATGTGAATTATCTTGTGAATTACCAGCTCTGTTTATAAAGGGGACAATTCTTTCACATGGGTCTCAAGACATTACTATTGCTTTCAAAGGTGCTTACCAAGGGAAAATATTGCCATGCAAATAATTACAGTATAAATGTTCTATATTTGTATCTAAAATTAAAAAAGATTTGACTTGCGGTTTCTCCATACCCTAAAAAAAGTGGATGGCTTTGCAACAGATGAGCTGTCACACTGTCAGTGTTTCCTCTGCTGCCAGTGTCTACGTAAACACAATGCCTGGAGCCTTGTCTCCCCAAGCAGGGACACCATCAGGTCTCTTAA